TTCCAGGAGGGCCTCGAGTGGGGGTGGGGAAGATTCCAGGAGGGCCTCGAGTGGGGGGTGGGGAAGATTCCAGGAGGGCCTCGAGTGGGATGTGGGGAAGATTCCAGGAGGGCCTCGACACGTGTTGGTAATACGATTTCCAAACCGTGGGAGGGGGGGGTGCACACAGCCCTACATAAGCCCTGCACTCAACAAAAATGCTACTTAGTCAGCTTGATTTGCTCACCTCTTTTAAGCCGTATCTGCAATCAGATGTTTTGCTGGAAAAATCGTACGAAATCCGTAATTTACCTCGTAGAATTTGAATTGCCTATGACTATACATGTAGGGTGAACGTATGGTTGCCATCTACATCGTTAGATCAAATTAATAATTCATTGAGGTTGGCCCGAAATGTCCTTTAATTTGTCGCGTCAGTTGAAGTCTTTTGTTCCCTGTCCTTGACGCGTTGGTAGCCCGGTATGTGTTTACCTGTAGCTAGGTACCTACCTGTTCGCAAAAACTAGCCATACGATAGAACCTGTCTTCGGCTTTTCACCGGCAGCCAGAGTAAAATGTGCTTTGGACGATCATCTATGTTATTGTAGACGATTTTGTAACGGTAAGTTTTGCTTACAGTGGGTCAAAATATTTTGGCTATGGTTAGTGTTGGATGTGACACAAAAATTAAAAGGGGGTATGTTTAAATACACTGTGCTTGTTTTCCTAGCTCAGTTGTCACACGACTGTAGTCCATATACGTAATGAGAACGGAGACAGAACTAGGAAAACAATCGCACACACCGGTGGCGATAAAATGACGCCAACACAAACATACACAGCGTTTTGACAACCTGTAGAGACTGTATTGTCAGACATAAGATGGTTCAGTTCATACATTTTGCAGTAACACTGAGTCCTTCACACGTACAATATTATGTGTTTCGTTCCGTGATAATGGATGAGTCTTTTCTTGCAGCTCCTAAAGTTGTCGTCGGCTTGAACTTGAGGCATCAACAAGACAGTGACAACATGTCATATCTGCTGTACTTTGCTGTCTTGCTTGTCGTCCCGACACCGTCCCAGGGCTGCTCCCAGCCTAACGGTTGGCGTCCCAAGCCACTTGACCAGCGTGTCCCCTTAGCCGACATCGTGGTCCATGCTAAAGTCTTGAACAAGACTGAAACACCCCGTGAGTAAAATGCTCGAAGTCATCATATTCACACAAATGGTTTATTCTGAGCATATACATTTAAAACCAGTGTACAGTACTTGCGATTGTTTTACTTGAAATTGCTGTTAAAATGGTCAAATTGCTCATTTTTCAATGTACATCATAATGTTTTCATTACAATCAACTATCAGTTACTAGGTACTGCTAAATTCTGCGTTAGTCAGTAACAATAGAATAAGCACATTACATGAACGCTTCAGAAGAAGTCTAGACTGTTAGAATGAAACCGCCTTCTGTTAATTTTGTACATAATGTGTGCAGGATTTGAGCATGACTGGCCAGACGCATACAGTGGAATCATGGAGGTTTACTGTGTGATGAAAGGAGGCCCCTTGCCACAGAACATCACAGTCGTTGAGATGGGTTCCATTGCAGGACAGTGCGTTTCCAACGATGGTAAAACAAACCTAGTTTATTAGGTCCCGAGTTTATATCCTGTCCTTAGACGCTCGATGAGGGCGGCAAGACAACACGTATGGGTATAACTATGGGATTCTGACGACCCAACTTTCTCGAAGGAAATTCGTTGGAAATCGAGGGGGACCAGACCTATTTGCGGGGAGGATAAAAACTCCAGAGCTAAAATAGGTTTGGTAACCAGGCTAGTAAAACTCATTCAAACAAATTCATAAGATATACATCATAGTTCACAATTTCATGAAGTTTCATACACATATTAGAATTTTTAATACGTGGAGGATTTCATTCTGACATTTCTGATTCTCCAGTTGATATTGATGAGGAATATATTCTCCTCCTGACTCGGCATGACATCGACAACACCACGTTTCTGGCAGACAACGTAAATGTCCAGGCTGCAGTCATCCCGGCCACACAGGGCAATCTGGAAATGGTCGCCGTGATGTGTGCACTGCCGAGCTTCACTTTTCCGCTAGGCGACGCTGGAAACGCTTTTTGCCCCATCCGTCCACTTGAGTGTGGAGCGGCTTCACATGTAGTGGTGGTGTCCACAAATATGATAATCTTGACATACTTTTCGCTTTTCGCATTGCTGTGAAAACCCAAAGTACCTTTCGTTAACAGTTCCCGACAGTGGATGCTGTCTGAAATGCCTTACTCTGTTAGAGACCTTGTGTAATGTATCAAACTGTAATTGTCATAGTTACGATGTCTTTATTGCTAACTTATGGTGCATGTATTTAAGGATAGATAGTGGAAGTGATTTCTAATGCACGAAGACGGACGTTCTGATTTCATTTCAACTAGGGGTCATAGCTTAGCCAAATTGTGCATGTTAACCTTAAATTTCATAACTGACGAATCATAGATGTTTCTCATAAATTACTGTAGTTACGAAGAGTTACCACTATGGAATTATAGAATTTGTACATTAATTATGCAAATCAGGTCCTCATTTACATGATTAGTATCTACTGCTGTTCCTCACATTCTTATTTGCATATCTCACTAGTTTGAATAGTCTTATCATTGAACGCAGCAGATTTATAGTTTCCTCATTAATTATGCAAATCAGACTCTGATTTGCATAGCTGCCATTTAATTATTGCACGCATCCCTGAAGCGACCGACATGCCAAAAATCACGACGATCCTTTGACCTGTTCTTGAGTTATCCTCCTCCAAGTCCAAACATTTTGAAATAAACGCTCATTTTCAGACCATGTTGCCAGGTCACCTTATTAGTTAGTGTTTAGAGTATTTTAATGAACCTAGAGGGTCTGGGATTGGACAATTACCAGCGTCAGGCCTTATAAATTGGCGAACTATAGCTTACAAGACTGTACTGCAGGCTGTATGAACGTTAGAATCAGTCAGTTCTATTTATATCTGTAAGAGGCTAGACCCGTCAGCCGTTGCATATATATGTGACCTTCATCGGAATATTCACTTCAAGGTCAATGGAGTTTGCTTTTTTTGGTTCTGTTTTTATCTCAAAACGCTCTAATGATCACACCAACCATCCGAATGTCTCGAAAAAGAACCACTTTTGGGAGCATTTCAGAGTGTGTTCTGCTCCACCAGATGTTGAGGAGCTACAGTAGTTCTATGGATAAAGAGTACCCGAAAAAATAAGCATGGGTCAAAAGGCTCTTCTCGTGGCATGGTTATGATCCATACTTGTGACATCAAAAGGTAAATATCAAGACTGATTTATTTATGTATTAAAGGCATCCAATGCGGCAAAACGAAAACAAATTATCCGACTCCCAAGCACGAACGAAAAAACGTGACCGATAACAAAGAAAAATACTCCAACAAATTCGAGAGTACCTCCAAAATTCATTGATGAAAAAATCGATAAAAACATCCTGGTAATGATGGTCCTTTGGTGTTTTATTTGATTATTGATTAAAATTTTCAACAATAACTAAACACGCAAGTGGCCACTTTTAATACGCGAGCTAGTGACACTACGCACCCATGTGAGAAATGTGAACATAGATATAAAAAGGCTGGTCTTTGCGCTTTGGCGTACAACGAGGTTTGCTTCTATCGGAAAGAAGTTGTCCGCATCAGCATCTCACGATGAAGGAAGGATACGTAGTCGGCGAGGAGGCCCGCCAGAACAGCGGCGGCTGCTCCCCGCTTCTGAAGGGCATCATTATCGGTGGTCTGACCGCCAGTGTCGTGGTCGGCCTGGCGTTCTTCCTCGTCACCCTGACCAAGGCGGAGTACAACACCGAGAAGGACGTGTCCTGTATCCGGGAGGATCTGAAGGAGATGTGCTGCCGCATCACTGCTCTGGAGAAGATCGCCAAGGACTGGGAGTGCGAGTGTGAGGTATTTTATCTGTATCAATATACTTCATGTTACGGTACGTCGTGCGCGTAATGGTAGAGTCCTCGGCTCAGACCCAAGAGGTCCCGAGTTCGAATCTGACCGATCCCAGTACCGATCTTGTGCTCTTGGGAAAGGCACTTTACACGACGTTCCTCAATGTAAAATGGGTACCTGACTTCGGTTGCGGAGGTAAAAGGCGGTGAAAGGGATGGGCTCCGCCTCCCAATACCGTGCCATAGACACATACACACAGTCTCATTGCCCCTACGGCCTTAAAAAGGCTACGGGACTACCTTTACCTTACCTTTCAGTGGCGTCGAATGGCCCAAGGGTTAGGTTATTAGCGGACAAGAATCACGGGTTCGATTTCTGGCTTTCCTGACAAGACGTTGCGACCTCGGGAAAAGCACTTTACACGAATGTCCTCACTCCACTCAGGTGTAACATTTCTGGGCTGCAGCTAAACACAGTTGAATCAATCCTATTCCATTTTCCATAGCGTACTGATGACTGTGCGGCAAAAGTGCGATGTCGCTGAAAAAAATACGATTGCATGTTTTGTATCGTAGGCGTGTTTAACCGATTTATTGGTGGTACAAAAAAGGGATTCCTTTCGTACCTTGTTTTTGGGCTATTTCAAACGCTTCAAGTATGAAATGATGACGAAGATGTGCTTAAATGACAGTAAGTGTCAATATGAGACAGATTTGCTCATCCAGAATATTTTTTGTTTTGTTTTGTCGCCCTGAAATCGAATTGGATGCCTTTAAAAGAACTCTCTGAACCCCTCCAGAAAATGAAACAACAGTTGGCTGAGAAGGAGAAGGAGGACTGTGACAAGGCTGAGCAGCAGGAGGAGTTAGCCGCGACCGCAGCGGCGGCGGCAGAGGCAGTGGAGACCGTGGCCAGGGCAAAGAGGGCCGCTCTCACTCTCGGTAAAAAAAAACATTCACAAACCCTTCAGACATAGTTCTAGACATAGCCATAGTTTTAGACAACTTACTTTCATTATGTAGATTTTGAAGTTATTTTATATCTGTTTCAATGCTGTTTTTTTATGTTTGTAACTTGCAATTAGCCTTCGGGCATGGATTTGCAATAAACTTCTTGTAACTTCTTCCGAGAAGCTTAGGTTTCCGAATCCGACTGTTCATGCGAATCGTTATGTATGTGTTGTGAAACTTCTGACGTTGTCGAGCTAGGAACCTAGCCTTGAGAGATCTTTCTGTTTCTCCAATATACGGTTTCCTTACATGGACCCCTGGTGTTCTGACCTTGGCACTGTATACGGTACACGACATCGCCATTCATACTTCCTTGTTTATTTCTATTCCAGAGAAGCTGTTTGACCTTCCTGACAAGATGGTGGAGGTGAACTAGGTCATCCAAGGGGTAAGCCAGACCTTTAAGAATTGTCAGTAGGGCCATGTTGTATCCAAAACCGTGCTTTATCCAGAACCATGTTCAAGTACGGTTCTGTGTACATGTAGTTCAAGTGTTGTTCCCAGAACTGTGATATATCCAGAACCTTGCTCAAGCGCCCATCTTATATGGCTTCCTTAACAGCTCACAGCATAATCAAAAAGGGGATTGCAAAAAGATCAGTTATAAGATCTAATAGTAAAAATTTTATGGAGGTGTGAGATCTCCGAATTCTTGTTGTTGTAATGATGTCATCTTTTCCTTTCAGGGACTATACCTGCCCAGCCAGTGTCGTATGGTCCCATCAACCGTCAAACACACCGGGCAAGGACCCGGATGTAGAAAACAGGGGCGGAACCAGTCAGAACCGGATATTCACTGCCTACAGATCGTGTCGATCCAACATCTCCATTTTCCCTTTCGAGACATGACATCACAGACTTCTTGGCTTCCTGAATTCCCCCATGCCCACCACTACTGTAATTTCTACCGACCAGATTCCAAGGCCTTCACGTTCACCTCATTTACTGTGTCTGGCCGTTTGAATTCTTTTATTTCTACCTGTGAAATCTTCCCATCCACGTGATGTCAACCTACTCTGTACGGACAAACAGATACACAAACTCACAGTTCAGCTACCCAAAACAATACTTCCGTACCCGGACGTACTGACGTTTGCATAGATTTTGATCCGCCGTTGTGTTTAGTCTTTGGCTGGTGTTTAGTCTTTGGTTGAATGCTTGTTGACCATTGTTTTTTAAAGAGAGGGACCAGTAAATGAACTTCCCACTAGAACATATGGTTAAGCAATGAATAAAAAAACAGCCCGAAACACATTTGATTTAGTTGTCTTTCAAACCTCGAGCTCACGTCTCCATACCCCCACTCAAGCTGACTTTGCCAGCACTGTTTGGTACAAAAAGTGGGAGGTCAACACCGTCACTTCAAAAAGCTGCAGCAGCCAAAATGTTGATATGGCACCAGGATTTCACCCCCTGTCGTAATGGACCAGTCCAGCCAAGGTCATTTTTCATTTTAGGGGCCAATTGCAACTCCAAACATGACAAAAGTTACAATGTTTGACCGAATTTTGAAAACAAACATTTTGTTCTTCTTCACCCTGGTAGGAAGCTGGACCTTTCACGGAGGAAAACACACAAATAAAATTCCATCGAGGCGCAACTCACTTACTGGTCCCTCCCCTTCGTTACAAGGACGAAAAGACAACAGCCTGTATTAAATGTAGCGAACGAGAAAAATAAAAACTATAGCAAGACGTGACGCCGTTTCGTGCCTGTCATTTATCTATATGCTTTCATAATTGTTCCATTATGCTTTCATAATTGTTCCACAAAAAATTCAGAAAGATATCAGAAAAGGCTATCTCCTTTAAATAATATCTGTGTTCACTTCTCTGCTATATGCACGTAGGTTGCATTATCATAGGCAAAATCAGCAAGAAAAATCTCTATATTTTACGAAGGTAAAACACGATCTTCAATGTCGTGTTTTTAAAAGTATGTTTCTTCTAAATTTCATTTGTAAACTTACGTACAGTCGTTTTTTCGATCCATTTTTCCCCTGACACACTGCACTAACGTACAGTCCCTAACATTCAAATTAGTGTAGATGTTATATTATAGAACCGATTTGCTGCCACGCCCTAAATGTATATACCCACATACCCAGTAGTTTTGGCACCCGCATTTGCAACCACCCGCCTGAATTGGAGCTTGTCTTGCCTCTCAGCTGCAAACACTGAGGTTAGTAGTAACAATTGTACATGTGTTCATGTTGTACATGTAACTAACAACGGTGTCAATTTGTTTTAACTGACTTCTTGTAAACTCTGCTTTGAACCCGTTTTGTTTGTAATTTTCAACGGAATCTTCACGAATTTGTCCCATTTTCACAAGTACTTGGCAGCCGAAGTAATATCTGTGTTGTATTCTGTTGGTTTTTATTTTCCTTACTGTTAGCCATTACGTGCAATGAAGAGTTACTGACAGTTACTGAGTGACAGGATACTCTGACAGTATCTTGTCAAGATCTTAAAGGCACCGAAAGGAATTTCAGGGCAGCAGGACTGGATTTCCAAAGTCAATATACTGGCCTTTCTTTTAATGTAACAGTAGTAAGTTGAGTCAATCCTATATACATTGTATTACTGATATCTGTGAGGTAAAAATGTGATACAAATCGCCCGCTATTTATGGGCGGTTCCCCGCCTTACGTCGCTTGTTTTACGGCTATTTCACGTTTCAAGTATGAAATTATGCCAAAAAGGTGTTCACAAATTGTAGTCAATGTCAATATCAGACAGAGTTCCCTATCAAAGATATAATATGTTTAGTTTTGCCGCCCTGCAATTGCATGGGATGTTAAGCAAAAGGAAGATCTTACATCGATGAGGTTCAACATTTTGGGCGTGGTTCAAGTTTGGGTCTCCGTGTGCTTTTCTTATTTGTCTTTCATTTCGTGCAACATAGGAAATTCGTATGACTTAGAAAGAATTGGTTAGCAACGCAATTGTTGCTAGAAAAGTCTTGCGAATACAGAAATGCATTTTCACTGATTACATAGAGTTTCACAACGATAAGAAGAACAGAGAAACGCCGGCCTTTTTTCATGGTCAGTGCCAAGATTTGGAAAAAGTACCGCCCGCAGGCCCGCCTGGTGTGTCACAGTCTATCACTCTATGGCACAGGCTGCAGACTGGAGTGACCTTTGTTCATCTTTGACCTTGAAAGGCAGAGGGTAAAATGTCGTGTTTCCGTTAACGATCTTTAGATAGTAGTGCAGACAGCAGTGCGCATGCGTGAATTGAATAAATCTCCAAGCAGATGTTTAATAGGTGGCCGCAAAAGAGTATCAAATTGGCCAGACTGTATCCATTCGCCACCCAATTTGGGCCAATTTGATACTCTTTTTGCGGCCACCTAAACATCTGCTTGGTAGATTAGAATTGAATGCCATAGTTACATTTCTTCATCTTAACATGACGTGACCTTGAAAGGAAAAGGGGGGGGGGAGTTGTGTTTCCGGTCACGATTCTTTACAAAGTAGTGACGGCAGAAGTATACAGACTATAATACTATAGACCTGCCAGCCAGTCGTGTAACGCTCAATGCTCGGCGTAAGAGATAAATTAGATCCCCGGTGTCAACTCTGGGATCGGCCGCGGGGCGTGTGGCTTCCTTAGCGCGCCTGTAGCAGGCCTTCCTATATACCGTTACTTCAGCCTTTATTCTTCTCTAGATATGACAAGATACATAAGAAAATCCAAACACCACGTTCTTATGATAGAGGGAAGATTTTACAAATAGTAGTGGGAGTCCCGGGAAGAAATGAGGCTATCTTGAGGGGTCTGTCATCTAGGCTACGCGTGAATAAAATATCTCGCTCCGTACACGCCTCATGGAAAAGTCATGTAGATCCTCAGGTGAACACGGGAAAATAAATTGCATTCCAAACTTTCCCTGTATGCTGTAACGATTTGCACTGGACGTCTGTTCATGTGATACAAACTAAGTACAAATATGAAAATAATGCGGTATCTCAGCATGGAGTGGGTAAACGATGTACCAGAATGTCGCAACTTGACAAGATTCCCGGCCGCAATCCCCACAGAAGTATATAAAGGGCGCGTTAACAATGAACAGATCTGTATTTTACACCAAATACGCTCAACACACGCACGCACGCACGCACACACACACACACACTCTCACACACACTCACACACACTCACACTCACACACACCGGAATTCGAAACACAACATTTTCTCCTCTGCCTTTCAAGGTCACGTCATGAAAAGACGACCAAGGTCACTGAAGCCTGTGCTTTTTCTTTCACACATGCGCACTACTGTCTACACTACTTTCTAAAGATCGTTACCGGAAACACAGCTTTTCCCATCTGCCTTTCAAGGTCACGTCATGAAAAGATGAACAAAGGTCACTCCAGTCTGCAGCCTTTGCCATAGACCGTGACCTTGTCACATAGACCGTGATCTTGTCACATAGACCGTGATCTTGGCACAGCAGGCGGGAGGGCGGTACTTTTTACCAAATGTTGGCAATGACCATGAAAATAGGCCGGCATTTCTCTGTTCTTTCTGTCACTGTGAAACTCAATCTAAAATGCATTTCTGTATTCCCAAGTCCTAGCAATTACTACATTGCTAACCAAACAAAACAGTCTTTCAAGGCCAAATCAATTTCGGATGTTGCACGAAATGAATGAAAAATAAGAAAACACACGGAGACCCAAGCTTGGACCACGCCCTGAATGTTGGACAAGATGTCACAATGTCCCAAGGGCAGCTCTAAAAAAGCAATTTTTTACATTGTAAATGATACAACAACGCAGAGACTGCCAATTGCTGAAATGATGCAATTTTCTAAAGATATACATCTCTGAATGTTCTATCATGTGTGATTTCTTACATTAACACTGTCGTTTTTTATTTCCAGAAAACAAGATGGCGTCCAAGTTCGAAGAAACCATCCCGATGGCTTCCACGGGACCGCAGCCACACGTAGTCGTCATGGCAACAGATGACAGCGAAACGACACCGGGATGCTGTTGCTGTGACAACGGGTGTGATGAGGAGAACGAGGAGCGCGGGAACTGGTCCTGTAACTTTGAGTCCATCCTGGCGAGCATCAGCTACGGCGTCGGGCCGGGGTATCTGTTGATGGCGCCAACTATCGTTAGAGAAGGAGGAGGTAAGTACAGGCAAGGACAATAAGCTTGTTACCTCCATGAAAAATGGAGGTATTGTTTTTGGTCTCAGGTGTTACTTGAGTTAAGTAGGAAAAGCCGTGTAAAGTGCCTTTTCCAAGGGCACACGATCGGTGGCAGGATTCGAACTCGGGACCTCTTGGTTCCGAGCCGACCCGGCTAACTCTGTGACTGTTGATGTGTGATGCATGACCAAATGATGGCATCTTTTAATAGCTTATACACGTGCCTTCTCCCCATGATCAGGTACTCTCCTGTACGTCTACATGGCACTGCAGATCTTCATTGGTTTCCCCATGGTTTACCTGGAGATGGCACTGGGACAGTACACGTCTCAGGGACCCATCCGTGCATGGAGAGGGGTGCCCATACTACAGGGTAAGTCACAGGGAACTATCCGTGCACGGAGAGGGGTGCCCATACTACAGGGTAAGTCACAGGGAACTATCCGTGCATGGAGAGGGGTGCCCATACTACAGGGTAAGTCATAGGGAACTATCCGTGCATGGAGAGGGGTGCCCATACTACATGCCCATACTACAGGGTTAGTCATAGGGAACTATCCGTGCATGGAGAGGGGTGCCCATACTACAGGGTAAGTCACAGGGAACTATCCGTGCATGGAGAGGGGTGCCCATACTACAGGGTAAGTCACAGGGAACTATCCGTGCATGGAGAGGGGTGCCCATACTACAGGGTAAGTCACAGGAACTATCCGTGCATGGAGAGGGATGCCCATACTACAGGGTAAGTCACAGGAACTATCCGTGCGTGGAGAGGGGTGCCCATACTACAGGGTAAGTCACAGAAACTATCCGTGCATGGAGAGGGGAGCCCACACTACAGGGTAAGTCACAGGAACTATCCGTGCATGGAGAGGGGTGCCCATACTACAGGGTAAGTCACAGGAACTATCCGTGCATGGAGAGGGGTGCCCATACTACAGGGTAAGTCACAGGAACTATCCGTGCGTGGAGAGGGGTGCCCATACTACAGGGTAAGTCACAGGGAACTATCCGTGCATGGAGAGGGGTGCCCATACTACAGGGTAAGTCACAGGAACTACCCGTGCATGGAGAGGGGTGTCCATACTACAGGGTAAGTCATAGGGAACTATCCGTGCATGGAGAGGGGTGCCCATACTACAGGGTAAGTCACAGGGAACTATCCGTGCATGGAAGAGGGGTGCCCATACTACAGGGTAAGTCACAGGAACTATCCGTGCATGGAGAGGGGTGCCCATACTACAGGGTAAGTCACAGGGAACTATCCGTGCATACAGCTACAGGGTAAGTAATTGGGAACTTTTGTTTTGTACGTTCAACATAACGTCTGCAAAGGGTAGAAAATTGGTGAATTGGTCACTGGACATTTATGTGGACTGATACAGCACCGGTCTTGTGCAGGTATCGGAATAGGGATGGTTGCGATGTCGGCCATCCTGAGTATCTACTACGGAGGCATAATGGCGGAGTACCTGGTATTACCTCTTCTTCGTCAGCGGGGATCTCAACACAGTCGTGTCATGTGACA